AGCTCTGTCCTGTCTGCAAGTCTGCCCTTAGGGTACGTTCTCCAAAACCATTTCTCACGGTGTGTCTATTTTTTCCATTTTTGTATTCACAGATTTCTTTCCTTCTTTCCAGAGTCTGTCATCCAAAACGCTCATCCAAGCAATAGTTAGAAAAAAACTTTCCCACTCATGATTTCATCTGTCTTGGTCCATCAGGTTGCTGCCACAAAGCACCACAGACTAGGGGACTTATAAACAACAGACATTTATTTCTCACATTCTGGAGGATGGAAGTCCCAGATCAAGGTGCGGGCACTTTGGGTGGAAAGTAAGAGCCCACTTCGTGCTTCAGACAGCTGTCTTCTTGCTGTGTCCTCCCGAGGCGAAGGGGCGAGATAGCTCAGTGGGATCTCTTTTACAAGGACCTGGTCTCATTCATGAGGTTCCACCTTCATGACCTAATCGCCTTCCAAAGATAGCACCCCACCTCCTAATACCATCACATTAGGGGTTAGGATTTCAACATTTGCATTTTTGGGGAACACAAACATTCAGTCCATAATTTGCCCAACTGTCCCCTGAAAAATTTGGGCTTCAAGATGGCAGTTGGTTTACTTGAAGTCCATCAATGAGTTTACCGGCCACATCGACACCAAAAATGGACTCCAAATTGCATCTATGACCCGTGCTTCTGGTATGCCATGTTGCCTCCATCAACCAACTCAAAGAAACTGGCTTAATGAGCACCTACGCCCAATGAGTAGAAACTTGTTGCTTTTTTGTGACCTCCTGTAAGAATTATAGGTGGGATTTTCTTTTTTTTTTCTAAGTAGGGCCTTGTGTCGTTGTCGACTTAAACTACCTTCACTAATTACCTCAAATACAGTATTCCTCAGATTTTCCTCTGCCGCCATAAGTATAAAGCAACTGGGTTTCTGGAACCTCTGCAGGAGACGAAATACACTCTTTTCATAGACCCCAAAGACTGCATGCACTTGCACCAAGCACACTTCCCAGGTGGCTGACTAGGCAATTTCAGCTTGGTTTACACTGACTTTCAATGATGTGTCCTGACACATATTTCAATAAACTATACAAAGTTACTGATAGTCAACCACGATTTACTTACACAAATGCTAATCCTGTGTGCTTTGACCCTAATGGAACACAGAATGAGGTGGTGCAGGTCCTGCTAGCTCTCCTGTGAGGTGCCATGCCCATGCCCAGCCATATCCAGGAGAGCCTGCCCAGGGCCACCTGCCCAGGCACCTATGTGACACTTACTGTGCAGGTCTGTTTATAACCAAACCTGCACATAACCACATAACCACACAGGACTGTTGCCTAGCTACCTTACACTACAACATGCCTTCAGCCATCATTTGCACACACGGTTGTTATTTTTTTTGAAAGATTTTATTTATTTATTTGTGAGCAAGTGAGAGAGAGAGGGAGAGAGAGAGAGAGAGAGAGAGAATGAGGCGGGGGCGGGAGCAGAGGGAGAGGGAGAAGCAGACTCCTCGCCAAGCAGGCAGCCTGACGCGGGGCTCGATCCCAGGACCCTGAGATCATGACCTGAGCCGAAGGCAGACGCCTAACCGACTGAGCCACCCAGGCGCCCTGCACACACTGTTAATCACACGCTGCGGAAGAGGACGTCTTCTCCTTTGGGGAAGCAAGTGTCTTTACTTGTTTCACTTTACTTGCTTACACTGTTCCCCATAAGTGGATCTAATGCTCACTTAGTGGACAACCCCCAAGGGGCTATTTATTTCATTAGAAGTTTTAAAAATTATATTTGTTTATTTATGAATGAAAAAGACTTCATTTTTTACACCATCCTCTTTCTTTAGGCGTTTCCTGGACACTTCTGGAGACAGCACATTTTACAACAGAAAGCAGAGTTATTCTGATCCCAAACACTTGATTCCTGGTCTAGCAATGTATAACAAGAAGATCTTGGGTTATTTACCTTGCCTCACTGATCTCATCTGTTCATCATAGCCCGACAATGGTGATGTCTACTTTTTGGTATTTTGGTGCAGAGTAAATGGCGCACGTTTGTGAAGAACCTGGCCATACGCTTGGCTCACAGTAGGCACTCGTAAGTGGTGTTTGTTAATGACGCCACCATTAGTATTCCTGGCTTAGTGCATAACGAGAAGATGGTAGAGATGACCATCACCAATGACTGTCTCTCTTACTAGTGGAAATGCCCTTCCATAGACTTCACAGCGCTTACTGTATATACTCCTCCTGGAGATCTTTGGAACCTATCGCTGATAGAATGTGCAAGTATGTGGATGCAAAAGCGTGGGATGCCTTCATATAGAAACATAAAAACTATGGTGTCTCACAAATATGTCCATGAAGTTGAGGGTCTGTTCTAGAAGGCTGGCTTCTAGTCTTTCACTCTGGTCTGTTTATGGTGCTCAGCTGTGGGAGTGTTAGGATGGAAGATGGCATTGTGCTTATTGTTTTCGTAAGTACAGAACAGATATGACAGTATGGTAAAACGGTAACTGTCAGAGCTTAAGTTTCTATGAGAGTCTTTTCCCTTCCTCGCTGTGGCAGTGGCAGCAGTCAGATGGGTGTCCATGTCTCGGGGAAGCTGCCCATTGCCTTGCGTTTGCTCCCCACACACGTTGGTTGACCACCTACTCCTCAGCAGGTACAGTGCAAGTGGCTGGGGTTGCAAGGATGAATGGGACGCCATTCTTGCCCTTGAGAGTGTCATGGTCTAATAGGAGAGAGAGACTCGAGAGCAGAGGATGACGGTATCCCATGGAAGTGCCAGGAGAGGTGTATCATGGTTGGCTCAAGCTGGGGCTTACCATCTCCTGATTCGGCACCACTCTTTCCAACTCTGTGTTCAGTGCCCTGAACACAGGGTGGGAAAGGAGGGAGTATTTACAGCATGGAAACTGGCAAAGGCTACTACAGATCTTGGCTTTTTTTTTTTTTTTTCTTCTTCTGAGAGCTGGTTGTTAAACATTTACCAGCACACCACCGGGTGTCTATGAACTGCTTTATGAGCTTAGCGGAGGGAAGGGATTAATTTGTCTTGGGTGTTGGGGAAAGCACAGAAGAGGGGTGACATGTGACCTTGTAGGATGGTAGGGGAGTGGGCTAAAGGAGAGGAAGGATGGCTGAAACTTGGAAAGGGCACAGTGATGGCGAGAGGAAACCCCAGCTCACGTTTACCTTTGAGATGATGACCGCAGAAGGCAAATGCAGTTGTGAGGAGCTTCTGCTGAAGGTGAGAAATGACATGCACCTTGGGATTTAACTCAAGTGATGCTGAATGGCAGCAGCTCTGGGTAGCTCCCTATGTCCTGGGGCTGAGGGCATGCCTAGGGCAGGAACAGGTGCAGTATATCTCAAAGTGAATCAGAGTCCTTTGATGGGGTGGCAAAATGCGGATTCCCAGGCTCCTCCTCAAACCAACGAATCAGATTCTCTTGGAACAAGAGCGGGGGTTTGGGGATTTGCATTTTTAACAGTCTCCCCAGAAGTTTTCTTGCACACTGTGGCTTGAGAACCAGTATTTCAGAGCTGGTACATCCACGGTTCTCAGTCTGGCGTGATTTTACACACCCCCCCCCCCCCCGGCAGAGGACATTTGGTGATCGGTTATTATTGATTGTCATGGCTGTGAGAAAGCCACGGGCATCTAGTGGGCCGAGACCGGGGTGCTGCTCAACATCCCACAAAGTACAGCTCAGCGCCCTCCGCGGAGAAGGATCCGACCCCAAATGGCAATAGTGCTGAGGTCGGTCTAGGTCATAATGAAGGGCTCCGAAATAAGTTACAAGTCAGCTTGAGTCACCAGGTGGGCCCTTCGCCTACTAAGGTGGGGGGTTGGTGGGGGGTTATGGACCTCCGGGTCCAGATATTGGGCTGCTGAGTTTTCAGAGAACAGGGTGGAGTTCGTAACTACTAAGCCCATGTAGATGACACTCTTGAAACTGCCCAGTCATGATCTGCTAACTTGTTATTTTTGCCTCTCATACAAGAATTTAAAAATATTCACTGAATTAGCCTCACAAAATTTTGGGCACTTCTTTGGGAAACAAAATATACCACAGGTGCTACACAAAGTAGTCTTCGCTCGACTTGCCCTTTTTTTGAAATCCAAAGGTAGATTTGCATTGAAATCACACTGGCTAAGAGTCGAATAAAGTCGCTGTTTATGTGGAGTCAAGAAAGCCCACCTTGGGAATTCTTTTTAAGTCTGGGTTTAAGTTTGTAAGAAGCCAGCTGGCTTTCCTCCCATCCTACTGAGATGATGGCCAGCTAGTCCCTGCTCTTAAGTTCACCGGATCCGCTCTGTTGGTAAGGTGAGCCGTGGTGAAAGGTAGATACGCTTACCTTAGAAATAGTCTTCTTGACGAAACATCCATGTTTCTTTTTTCTAATCACAGTATTATCTGAAATTATGCCTTGGGCCCTCAACAGATAAAGATTCTTGGTCATCTGTTGTGTTTCAATAGATTTGTGTGCAAGTTCCCATTTAGATTTGTTTTGTCTTGTTTTTAGCCTGGATATACAATTCATCCATATGGAAAAGAGGTGGGTGCCACCCTCCTCCCAAGGTGTTCTGCATAACAATTTGGTTTCCTCCCCAGTGGCTTTGCCGAAGTAGGACTTCGGGGCAAGATACCCTTTTCAAAAAAGATGGTCGGGTCCTGAATGTTGCCCTTTCCTGGCTGAAATAGTCGTGCCCCTTCCAAATGCTTTCGTGCTTTTAGGGCGCTCCTAAAAGGCAAAGGCCTTAAGGCCCGAAGCTAGTTAGTTAGGCTTTGAGCAGACCCGAGCAGCGAGGTAAGACTAGAACTCATCCTTTACTTTGGGAGCCGTGTTTCCAGCTGCTTCCAGCCATTTAAATCCCGAAAGCTCTCTAATCCTGGCGGAGGCAGGCTTTCTAGCTCCCAGGACCCACCCCTTCCTCCTGATTGGCGGGGCTCCTCCGGGGCCCGAGGCAGCCACCTACGACGTCTCTGAGACCCGATTTGAAATAAGAGCCAGGCGGTCCTCGCTTCCGCGAGCCCGACTTTTCATAGGCTGGGAAGAAAAGCTGGAGAAACTTGACATTGTCTTGGGCAGAGTGCGTGTAGCAACAGATCAAAGGAAAAGGAAGAAAACGTGCTCTTTGCTGCCTGTGGATCTCACTGAGTTGCTTTTGTCTTGCGGGCTTCTGTTGGGTTTGGTGTTTCCCCTCTGAAGAGCGCGGCGTGGGCTCCGAGGCAGCTCGCTCCCTGCCGGATGGGTCATGGAATTCTAAACATGAGGCAGGTAAGCGCCAGGGGCTGCGTGTGGAGAGGGAGGGTGCAGCCTGGGGCCCCTGCGTTGGTACTCCGGAGAGCTTGCCGGGTTGGCAGATGCCTGTGCAACTCCGTCCATTTGGCGTAAAGACGGGGCTGCATTTTCCTAAGGGAACCGAAGAAGCCGATTTTCTGAGGGCCCCCCCACCCCTCTTCCCCCTCCCCACTTTGCCTCTAATTGTGATTGGTGATGTCAGCCAGTCATTGTAAAGGGCTTAAAAGCGGTTTGTAGAATATGTAAATCAATTCCAGTTTGCAGTCGCTGGAATGTATTGTGCAGGATCCATCTCAGGCTTTTAGCCTCTATCCTGTGCTTTGGATTAGACTAAAGATAACTGAATATCCTGAAAAAGAATTACACGGGGCGTCTGATCTCATTTTGGCTTCTCATCCTGAGCACTTAACTGTGTTTATGGCTGAGAAGGCGGAACCAGCCTGAAGTGAGCACAGACAGTCCTTCCAGAAAAATGCAGATTTATTTTTCTGTTCTGGCGGTTTTGAAACTGTTGCTCCTGGACGTGAGAAGACAACCCTGAAGCAGTGAGCTGAGAAAGGCTTGGGAAGACTTAAAATCAGTCTTTGAAAGGAATTCTAAGCGGGCAGCTTCTTCCGTGGCTTCGGGGCAGAATGATAAAATTCCCTATCAGACAAGGCAGAGAGGTTTATAGCTTTACTAGTAAGAAAGGAAAAGAAAAAAGTGGGTGTACGAAGCCAAAAACAAAAGGGTGTGATTTACAACTTATTCAAACTTATGGAAGACTCTTATGTCAATATATGAATATCAAGATCACTACTCACAGAAAGGGAAGACAAGATTGGAAAAACATGCTGGGAGGCTGGCAAGGGCAGAGAATTACCAGAGAGTGTTAATTGCTTTTGCCAGCTCTCAATGAATCTGGGTGGGAAAAGTTAGCATCTGTATTACCACCAAGAAAGCTCTTCACTTTTTTCTTCTAAATGGGTTCAGCACCCGCCACCCCGAGCTCTTTGGGGGAGGTGATTTGCATAGGAAGCAAACTTTCCTTTTTGGGGCCAGGGCTAGGGGTTTAGAACTTTCTGTCCATTTCCTGCCGCCTCCGGAGGTGGTGCAGAGCCTCCCCCCCCCCGCCCCCCCCCAACAGACGGGCGCCAGGACCCTCTGCTGATCGCTCCCTAAGCAAGCGTGGTTGGCAAGTTGCTGTGAGTGCAGACAAGCCCATTTAGACAAGCAAGTGCGGTGTGTGTTTTCAATGAATTGCCCTTGCCTTGCTGGACATTGGGGCCGAGGCTGAGTTTCTTTCAGTTCTGCAAACCCACAAGCGACCCCATTCTTTTTATGCCGAGCAGTCGGATGGGCGGGGCGGGGGGGGAGAAGGAGCAAGAAGCCCAAATGGAAAGGATCTAAAAGGAGAAAGAGGAGGGCAAAAACAATTTCGACAAAGGTCCTTAGCTGGAACAAAGAAGTCATTTGATCCTGTGCAGGGCCACCTGTCCTCTCCTTGGTGGTGTCTGAGCTCAGTTTTCAGGATCCCTGTTCCCACACAATCCCTGGGGGACGGTGGCACTCCCCGTGCCTGATGCCAGAGGCATGCTGTCCGTCTTGGCATGATTTCCCCCATGCCTGGCGCGTCGTGGCATTCGAGTGAATTGGAATTCAGCCCGGTATTGAAGTTTTAAGGGTACCCATGTAATAACTCCTTTGTCATTTAGTGAATGAGCGACTTTGGAACCCTCTGACTCTGTGTGTCTCGTAATTTTTTGGCCTGTTCCGAGGGGGTGGGGGGCTGTGGGTAGGCGGAAGGGGGAGAGAGGGGGAGAGTCATTGCTCGTCCAAAGAATAGGGGGCAGTCCAGCGTTTCAAGCTTCTCACACCTTGTTCCACAGCAGCTGTGGAGGGGATGAGGTGGTGGAGTTACTGGTGTGGGTTAAGCCTAACTTTATTTGAGTTTCTCTTGGGGCAAACTGCTGCGTCCAGGCTGGGTGAATCGCACCCACCAGCCGATCTGCCACCCCAGCCCGGCAGCCCCGGCCGGATCCGCAGCGTTAACTATCAAACAGGTCCGTGTGTCATCAGCTCGGCAAAGAAATCCAATCTCCTCGCTGAGGAGTGATCCGTCCCCAGGGCTGCACAATGCGGAACAATGGTGTGGCAGCCAAGAGACCCCTGCCACGTACTAGGTATATCAGGTAGCCAGGAGCCGCCAGCGGAATGAGAAAGCTGCCTGCCTGGAGAGGAGATTCAGAGGGGTTTTGCTCCGTACCAGGGTGGCAGGAAAAAAAAAAAAAAAAAGAAAAAAACGCATAGAAGGTTAATATTATTTGAGGGTTCCTAAGGTTACGCTGAGTGAGGACAAAAGAAAAGTGTAAACCTGATTTGCCTCTATCAGGAAGTAATTTCAAAGCATGTGCCAGTCTTTCTCCGCACTCTGATCATAAATGGGAAACTTTCCTGAAACTTCCTTGAGAAGGAATTTGCTGTGTTCCCAGGCGAAAGGAAAGGCATGGCCACCTGTTGTGGAGGCCCAGCCAAAAACAACAGGTTTGCCTGTGGCATTCTCACAACTGCAAATATCCTCCCCAAATAGCGCACCGCTCATTGTCCCTGCGCAGGAGAAGAACAAATAATTCTGTCTCAAGTTAGAAAGAAAAAAGAGCAGCTTCTCCAGACAAAACCGCCTACCAGACCTATTTTGCGTTTTTAATATCCTGATGACTTCCCAAAACACTCCAAGGGAAGAAGGCGCACACTCTTATCTCCGGTCGACTAAAACAGATCATCATCGCCTTTTGCCTTAGAGTGTGAAGGGGGCAAAGGAGGTAGTTAGCCAGTGCTTTAAGCAGCTGCTCAATTCTTGCAAGGCTAGCGTGGTGCTATTACAAGGAAGCTGTGACTGGCCTGTTTTGCATTCTTCGGATTGGAATTAAAATGCCCAAGGACATCTGGTTTAATAATGAATGTCTTTGTATTAATCTTTCCTTTGAGGATTAGAAAGTCCTTTCGGAACATGAGCGATTTATTTTCTGTCACATCCCCAGGAGAGAACAAGGTGGCCGTTCGATCCTCAGTGAGCAAATGCTGAGGTGAAGGCAGAGAACGGGCAGGCAAAGTATAAAGATAGGCAGCAACTTAGGTGCAGTTCTGAGGAGGAGTCCTACCCACTCCGAGAGGCAGGCTACCTGTGCGCAGGAGGCTTGGAATTCGAAGTGATAGGGCTTAAAACAGGACTCTGCTACAGCATCCCTCGTTCTTACGATTCTGTAACCAACACGTTAGTGTCCCAAGTATGTTTTATGGTGTTCTCCATTTGAAAGTCAAGCCTGTGGAAGTTGAGAAGGCATTTCTGTTCTCATTTGTCCCAACATTGAGATAGAAAGATACTGTAACTAGCCGGAATTTAAAATATGTATCTGAGAAATGTTCCCTTTCAACAGCTGTTTCAAGTTTTTGCACGTGGTCTGGAGGTCGGTGTGGAGGTCCAGCGTCTTCAACATCCGTTGAAATGTTCGTGTCTTGCCTGCTATCTCTCCTTTGCAGGGAATGTTAGAATCACAAGACTTGCTGTCAGATTCAAGATTCTTATTGGTCATTTTGAAATATTCAAGTTGGCTTTTCCTTGCCATTCGTTATGACATGCGTTCGTAGTTTGCTTGGCTGGGGACCGCATAGGCTGTGGGCAAATCCTTTAATTGGTAGGTGCATGTTATCCGCAGACATTCCAGCAAGTTTTAAGGCTGAGTGTGTATGTGGATGTCTCCTGGCTTTGATCCCTTGTGTGGTAAATAGACATCCAAGGTAGCTATGGCAACCTGGACTGCACAGTGTTTCGTGAAGTGGGGGGGGGGGGGATTTGGTAACTGGACAAAGAGTAATTTGTTTGATTAGAAAAAGGTGGGGCCGATAAGGACATTTTTAACCAGCACGATCTGAGGATCCCAGTTCATCCAAATCATTTGGATTTTTCTCGATAAGGCAAAAAGAATCCATGGTTAGCCACGACCAACGTATTTTGCAGATGAAATTTAAATGCTTTTCAGTCAAACGGTGGCTACTTCCAAAAAGCAACTTATGAAACCAAAGGGAAAGCCAACATATGATAAATCTCCCTGTTACACTTAGTGTGAATGTTTGCATTTTCAGAACTTGGTGAGATTTTAAAAAGAAAGACCACAATCTGATTGGGCGGTGTGCATTTCAGTTAGCCACCTGCAGAGGTCAGGCTTGAAGTGTCTATGATGGAAGGCTGGGCGGTGGACGCCGCTGCTGGGAGCCGGATCGGAGGCCGGGAGAATTGCTCTGCTTACTTGGAACAATTAGTTAGCGATTCTTTAATCTTGTGACCAAAGCCACGATGAAAATGAGTTCATTCAAGGAAGAGAATATCAAATACGCTGTGATTAAAGAAAGGGCTACAAAGCCAGGTCAAACAGGAATCTAATCTCCCATTTAGAAATGGGACAGTTTTATCAACATGATTCTTTCTGGCTCATTATCAACTCCTTTTATTTCACATGAAACTCATCTCGGGGGTTTTGTTCTGGAAGGTTGCTTACCTAGTTTTATAAGCTGGCATGTTCTAGAAATTTCCTTAAATGAAAGGACAAAATATTAGGGACCCTTCTGGATCCACAAGACCTTTTTTCCCCCTCCTGGAGGAAAATACCACACAGATTAGGATGGTTAATGGCCTCCAGAAAGGTCAGAAGATTGAGGCACTGAAAAAAAATGTTGAGAGAGGACTTTCCTAGAATAAAACAAAACAAAGCAAACAAACAAAACTAAGAACTTATCTGCTTTGTGCTATAAAAGAAGTTTTGGCTTAAAAAGGCAAAAAAAAAAAAGAGGAAGATGTACTGATCATTTGTAATGCAAATGGATTTGAAGGTTTTATATACAGTCAACTGTTTATGATGAGTATAATACAGAGGCTGTCCTTCATTCCTTACATTATTCAAGGACATTTGCTGAGTAAGTACTCAGAAGTAATATATCCA